GGAAGGGGCCGGAGCCCCGCGAGCACGGCGGCCGCAGGCCTCGGGCCTGGGACGGGAACCGGGAGGGCTGAGGCACGGCAGGGAGGCGGCGTCGCGGCCGCTCACGGGTGCCCGCGTTCACAGGGCGGGCGTCTCGGCGAGGATGGGGCCGGCCTGATGGCACCCGGCAGCGGGGAGCGACCCGGCGGCGACCAGCCCTGCGGCGGGGAAGGTGAGGGGCGCGGGGCCCGGCGAGTGCGGGGCTGAGCGGGCTGTGCCGGCAGCCGGGGGGAGGCCGCTGGGCCTGAGGCGGGATGCGGTTTGGGGTTCATTTCCGAGCGGGACGGGGGCGGGACGGCTCCTGGCGCCCCCCGGGAGCATCCGCGGGCCCGGGGATGGGGAGCGGGGCCTCGGCACCCCCGCCGGCTCCGTAGGGGGGAGAGTGGACCCCAGAGCCCGGTGACCGCTGGTACCCAGTGTGTGAGTGTGTGTGTGCGTGTGTGAGTGAGTGTGTGTGCCCGAGCTGTGCCTGTTGGTATTTATGAGCCTAAGGAAGTGTGACAGTTGCGGGCTGTGGAGAAGATGTGTCCTCTTCAGTACCCCAACGGAACGGGTGTGGGTGATGCGGTAGCTGCTGTTAACCAGCCCCATAAACTAACAAATACCTTTTTTAATTGATGTGTAGGTGTGTTGGTCTTGATTTTGTGTGCTGAAAGCTGATCTTCCCTCCTCCAAGATGGCATTCGTGTCGGCACAGGGGCCCACCGTGGTGGACCAGACCACCTTGATGAAAAAATACCTTCAGTTTGTGGCTGCTCTGACAGATGTCAATACACGTAAGATAAACTTTTTCGGTTGAAAGTTAGAGTTCCTCAGTAGTTCTGAGTATTGTTTAGGCAGTTGATAAACATGTGTTGAATTCATTTTCAATTTTGTTTGAATATTGATTTTTTGAAGAAGCAAGATGATGAGAACACTTGCATGAGCCAAAGTGAGCGAGCTGTGTGTGTGTGTGCAGTTGTGTGAGGGTTGATTGGGAGGAATGTGTGCCTTATAATTGGGCGGTGATAGCTAAACTGATAAGATCTGATTGCTTCTTTGGTCAATGAGCCTGGTGGTTTCCATCATGATGTAGTTTTACATTTATTTTTTTTGCTTGAATTTCCTTTCTCAGCTGATGAGACCAAATTGAAAATGATGCAAGAAGTCAGCGAGAATTTTGAGGTAAATAAACCCAAACCCCAAACAACAAAACCCCACCAAACCCCCCAGCCTGCTGAAATGGCTGTCTTTGTTGTGCTTTATGTGTGTTGGTTTGATTTCTGACGTTACATGGTTAAAATAGTATCTTGTAAATTATTAAGGGAATCCTAGAGCAGTGAAACGTGAGCAGGCTTGTCAGTATTCCTTGTTCAAGAACATCCACAGAGGTTTTGTGGTGTTTTTTCCCCATTTAAAATAGCTGTATGTGATGCCAGTTTTATTTCTACGTGAGGCGACAGTGTTAAAATAGGAAAAAAAATAATTACAGTCCATTGGGATTGGAGGAAAGGGCTTAATTTGCATTCACTGTTGTTCCTTTCAGTAGCAGTGCTCTGTAGGGGCAGCAGATGTGCAACCGCTGAACCCATTAAAAAGTCACTGGAACAGTGGCCTTGAACTTCATCTGTGTAATGTCTATTACACACGTCTCCTCACTTTTTGATGTGTGGTGTTTTGGTTTTTTCTCTTAATTAGAATGTGACATCATCCCCTCAGTACTCTACGTTCCTGGAACACATCATCCCCAGGTTTCTGACCTTTCTGCAGGATGGAGAAGTTCAGTTCCTGCAGGAGAAGCCGGCGCAGGTGAGCAGTGAGGAGCTCGCTCAGGGCAGGACTTGGTTAACCCAGTGAGCTGGTTTATGTATAGGCTGGGATGTTAAAAAGACATCTGTCATGTGGAGTGAAGTTGGAAAAGTCCAGTTTCTAGATAAGTTACTTACAAAATTTGCCATTCTGGGATTCTGTGAAACATAAGGTAAACTAGATGTATCAGAACTGGCTTTCTCACTGAAATGCAACACATTGTTACAAATCACTGACTTTGCTGTGGGCTGAAAGGCAGAGGTCATTAAATGTATGCATTAAACACTTAAAATTGAGCTCATTAGAAGTCTGATAACTTGCATTTTTCACCTGTGAATTTGTTAAATTTGCCTTATTCCTATATGTGGGTAGTAGAAAGCATTATATGTTTGTATATACCCATATGTCTATATGAAGTAAAATGGCTTTTAATCTTTTCAAACATGGAGAAGTATTAATCTGAAAAGATGTTGCAGCCAATTGTTGTTTTTTGTGGGCTTTTAAAAAAGTTCTATTGTCTCTTTAATTTTTCTTTTCTTCTTTTTTTAACAGCAACTCCGAAAGTTGGTGCTTGAAATAATTCACAGAATACCAACAAATGAACATCTTCGTCTTCATACCAAAAATATCCTGTCTGTGATGTTTAGATTTCTAGAGGTATTTTGTTTTTATTTTTCTCTTCTGGCTGTTTCCAGTTTTCAGAAGGATTTTTCCCTTCTTTCCTCATGTCCAAAAATTGCTGGGGGTAGGATTTCCATAGTTGTGCTTCTGGAGCAGGAGGGGGAGGGCTTTAGGCTTCACCGGTGTGAGATCTTAATTTTTCTGCATGGTCTCTTCTGCCCCTTAGAAACTTGGATTTTACAAATGCAAGGAACTGTGCTCATCGTGGACAGGATTCCTTTCACGAACACTGTTCTGGCATACATAAGTGCAGACACTCCATTCTAGGGACTTTGTTTTGTTTCTTACTTGGAGTTGGAAACACTGTCATTTGAAGATCACGGAAAATAACCTGCTCTGTGCGGAGGTGTCTCTGGCTGTGGGGTGTTAGAAATGGGTCTGAGGGTACAGAGTGGCTGAAACTTGTGGGTTTTGCTCTGGTGGGGGTGAATTTAACATCAGCCGTACCCTAGGGCTGCAGGGTGAGGTTCTGTCTCGGGAAAGGCATCTTCCTCGTGCAAATTCCTGTTAACGGGGCACTTGTAGGTTGCTGAGATGAGTGTAATGTTATAGTTTTGGAGTCCTTAGGGAGCAGTTGAGGAATTGCAGCAGTAGGCTCACTAAAGATTCTCTTTTTTTTTCTCAGACGGAGAATGAAGAAAATGTCCTGATTTGCTTAAGAATAATTATTGAGTTGCATAAACAGTTCCGGCCAGCAATCACGCAAGAGGTAGGTCGTAGCTATTGTACAGTACAGAGAACGTGCTGCCAGCCTCTTCCTAGCTGTTACTTTGTTCAGTTGCTTTGTTTGTTTGTTTGTTTCCTGATGTCCTTTTATGATGACTGACCTGTTGTGGTAACCATATATTTTTTATTATTTTTTTTTTTACCTTAAAGTAATTTTTAAGAGGTTTGTGTAGTGCTGGCACCCCTGAGAAGGAACAAACTGCTCCAGCCTGGTTGGCTTTGCTTTGAGTGTTTATGGGCAATATGGTTAGACTGAGGAATAAAATGCCCACAGAGGGAAGAAAGTTGGTGTCTTTTTGGTTTGTGAAAGGGAGAATCCTGGAGAAGGAATATTATGATTGTGTCATGTGTCCCCCCAAGTCCCTGCCCCATCCTTCCCTGGCTTCTCTCCTGTGACCCATGGAGGAGTATTTGAGAGTTTGCATTTTTATTCTGTTGCTTTCTTTCCTTGATTTTCCTCTGGAGCTTGGTTTATAGTAATTATTTCTAATAATTTTGTATTGGAACTATGTTGAGATGATAGATAAATTGGATTCTTGCCAAGTTGGCACAACAGGAGGTAATAGGAGAACGCTTTCAGGTTCTCATGAAAAATACACTCTAGTGGTGACTTAAGATTTTTTTGTAATTGTGCTGTTAATACAGAGATTCTAAAGTTGTAATTTTTTTTTCCTTATGGTAAACTGACTTCTTCCTTCCTAGATCCATCATTTTTTGGACTTCGTGAAACAGATTTACAAGGAACTTCCAAAAGTTGTGGTAAGCTTTTTTTATTGCCCTTGCTGTAGTCAGAAAACTAGTTTTTATTTATTAATTTAATCTTTAAAAGAGATTAACATAATTACTTTTGTATCTAGTGATACAAAGTAAATACTATTTTAATAAAAATATTTAACAAAACCACGTCTAAACATGGAGTAATTTAGACTTTGAATGAGAACCCCTTCTGTTTCTAGCAGAGTATTATGAGAAGGCAGAGGCACATCTGTCCCGAAGCACCGGTCAGTCGATGGCAGAGGTGTCCCTGGGGGT